CCTCATTTGGAGGCGATTACACAGATCTTCCCAGCCAAGACTTAAACCTTGCGCATACCCTTCTGGTGGTGGTAGGATCATACTCATTCGGAGAGCAATTACACAGATCTTCCCTACTGGACTTAAACCAATGATTACACAGATCTTCCTGACTAGGACTTAAACCAATGATTACATAGATCTTCCTGACTAGGACTTAAACCTTGCGCCTTTTCTTTGGCGGTGGTAGGATGTACCACTCAAGCTATTAGCTGGTGTTGCTTGTTAGATAGGAGGCTTCTTGTTATTGTCTACTTAGTTTTAACGATGGTACAAGGACCTCAACTTCGGTGGAGTCAACATGAAAACTTTTTTTCATCATTTTGATCTTTGCACGAACCACTTTTATACTTTTGACACCATTTTTTGTGGAGAAAGGTGTTTTTTTTTTATTTAATAAACATAGCCACTTAACAGTTGCTAAAACTGTTGGAAAATCTAGGAAGAGAATGTATGATGAATTAAGAGGAGTATGCATTTTGATTGATGAGTATCTCTTAGGTTGAATACTTTATGGTGTAGAATGCGGCATATTTTGAAAATAACTGTAGTTGATATACACAGTTCTTCACTAGGAAATAAATTAATAGAGAATTGCTAAGGTGATATGGAAGTGTTCATCGAAGACTTATAACTATGCCAGTATAAAAGAGTGACATGGTAACTACAGACGATAATGTGGAGGAAGACTAAAACTAATGTGGATGGAGACAATAAATAATACTTGATAGCTTATGATTTAGGAGAAAACATGGTCCTAAATAGAGCTCAATGGTGAAAAGGGATTCATGTAGTTAACCCCAAGTGTTTGGGACAATTTTTTTGAGTTTAGTTATACCCTAGAAAGAAAGTGTACAATGTCAGAAGACAAGGTAAAAACAGATTAACCTCCTTTTTATAATTAGCTTTAAACACTCGAATTCCTAGGATCTTAGTTTTCAAAAATGTCGGCATTGATTGTTTAATAGTATGACTGTTATACTTCCTCTTTTTTTTTGATCAGGACTGGTAGAATTTATCTACTGCCTTTAATTTTTATGGTCCTTTCATTTGGAATTTTGATCTTTTTGTATTTGCATTCCTCAATTGTTGTTAACTTTTCCTCAGGCAGGGTAGTACTGCTTTTGCTTGATTGATATTCAAGAAATGGATGCCTTGGTTTCTGGTTTCAACGTTTTTGAGACAAAAGAAGCAGGCCCACTAATTCTAGCATGGGCAGTTTTTCTTTGTCTCATTTCATCTCTTCCAGAAAAAGAGGAAAATGCCGTGCTAATGGTACATTGTTTTGTCAACATGTTAAATAATTTACTGCATCTGCTTTTTTTTCCACAAATATTGTAACTTTTTTATCAAGTTTTTTCACTTTTGATTCAATGCTTCAGGAGATTGATCATGTTAATTACGTTCGTCAAGCATTTGAGGCAGCATCCTTAAGTTATTTTCTTGAAATTCTTCAAAGTAATGTGTTGAAGGATTCAGATGTGAGTTATTTCAAGTTAATTTAAGTGTCTTGTTTCTAGTTTAAAACTTGACCTTTATGTATGATCTCGAGGTTTATCCTTATGCTCACACTTTTCCTTGTGGATAGATTCATTTTTGTTTAGTCTACGTCAGAAGTCTACTTATCTGTGATATTTTCATTCAATGTGCAAATAAACTTGTGCCAGGTACCTATTGCTGGTTATCGAAGTGTCATGAGGACATTTATATCAGCCTTTATTGCATCGTATGAGATCAGTATTCAGGCAATTGCGTATGCTCCTTGTTTTAATTTGTAAAGGACTTGTGCATTGTTGTTTTCATTAATTTTGCTCTATTTTTCTTGCAGCTAGAGGATAATAGCCTCCAATTAATATTGGATATCCTTACCAAAATATATCGAGGAGAGGTGTGGATTGTAATTATTTATGATACTAATAGACAATTCACCGGATAATTTAATTATCTTATTCTCTGTTTTTTCCATTTATTGGAGTTCATTGGCGATGACTGCTGCAGGAATCACTTTGTATTCAGTTCTGGGATAGGGATAGTATCATTGATGGGCCTATCCGGTGTCTTCTTTGCAACTTGGAGGGTGAATTTCCATTTAGGACTGTGGAACTTGTGCGCTTATTATCAGCCCTCTGTGAAGGAACTTGGCCCGCGGAATGTGTGTATGTAGAATTTTGATTCTTTTTTCTGGTCATTATCTCTTGGGTATATTATTTTTTTCCCCTTGTGCAACACAAATGTTGTCTTTCCAAATGCGGTTTATTGTAACATGAAATGAATTTTTCTTTGATATGCAACGATGGGGACGGGAGGAGTCAAACACGTTGCCTGGTCATCATGTGTTATTTTGTCATTATGATAGAATCATGAAAAGTAAACTGTAATGAATTTAGTTAGTCTTGCTTTAACTATAGTGTGCTACTCTTTAAAAGAATCTAGAGGCAGTGCATTGAGAAATACCAAACTCAATCTTGGGGCTGTGCTTTGAAAAATATCAAACTGGAGAAAAAAGATTTTGCGATGAGTTATTTGGTCCTTAAAAGTAGATGGTGTGGAGATGGCCACTGGAGATATTTCAATGGTAGGGGTTGAAGTACACCGAATGATATTCATTGTGGTTGACGTATCATTTTAAGCAGTTTTTTCCTGAAATCATAATCTCCTAAGCCGAGTGCAATAATTGGACTTTACTGCTATTACTCACTGTTATAATTACATGTCTACGTTGATATGCTTCATGCTTTCATTTCCATAGTACACTTTCTATTTAATATTCACAATTAGCATAGGCTCTAACCTTCGATGTAATCAGTGTTTTTTTCTTTCTTAGCACAACATAAGGGGGAATACAATCTTCTCTATGTAGTGGTCACTGTCCTTGCACTCATTTTCAGTTTTATTTTTATGATCGTTTAATTGCACTTGATGTCAGCATCTCAATTCAGGTAATAATTGGCCAATAACAAGGAAAAAAACTAGGGATCCAGTTGAAGGCTGAAAGAATAAATTGAAACAAGTGCACTTGAATTTACTACGAATTCTCCACAATTTATAAATATATGAGAGAGTTCATTGCAATGGTTTGGAACTTTGATGTGATTTAGTTGAGTGACAGGTGGTTTAAAGTTAAGAGGATGGCTGAAAGTTGGAATGCATATTATGAATAATATGAGATGCTAATCCCTGTCCTGATCTTTATCCTTATATGCATATTTTTGGCACATTCTTTTCTTCCGGGTTTAGATGGGTAGTGAATTACATTAACACGAAGCATGACCCATGCTGACCTGGCAAGCCACCTCAGGGCCTGGGAGTAAGCACTGTAGTCTCACTTCTTTTCACTGTCATAATAGTCCACCTGTTAGTAATAAACCCCTCTTCACATCCTGAAGGAATATCCCTTCAATCATGTTCCTAGGGCCTTGAGTCCATGACTGACTGACTGACAAGAAAGATGCTAATCATGATCATTCCTTCGACAATGGTCTTATTCCAGCCACTAGGATCAAGCCTTAGGATGCTCTATGCATCAGGTGACATGGCCATCCCTATGGACTGTGTTGTGGTTTGTATCCCTGGAACCCAGAATCCATATGGCGTGTTTGCTTGGACGAGGGGCTTGTCAAGTTATCTTGCCGAACCGTGGCATGGCACTTTGATCCATTCTGGAGTTAGAAAAGTTCTAAACAAATTCCGACACAGCAGGACGGCTCAATCAGAAAAATTTCCCTGTGACAGAAACATTGCTAATATCACATCAGGAAGCCTCAAGTGGGTGGTTGACTTGGCATTGTGTATCCTGCAATGGGGAAATTGATTCCTTCCGTTATTATTGGATCCGGTTATCAGTCTAATTGATTCAAGCCTGGAATTTCTTGTACCGATCTTTGATTAGCCAACTTCATTTGTTAAAGCCACAGTGCCACGCTGTGGTAGAAGTGCAAACCTGACGTCTAAAATGGAGTGGTGGGCTCAAGAAAAGATTAAGATGTTAATATGCAAAATCAAACTTCTGTGTTGACTTTTAATGGTACGTTCTGTACTAACTTCATAATATACTGGAAGCATTGCATTTTGGATGCCTAAGTTTCTTGGTGAAAATACTAAAGCCTATGGCCTAAGATTTGAATTGTTGTTCCCTTTTTCAATTTTTCTCCCAAAGAAATGTACAAGTATGGTTTTTTTCCTTTCTAATATCAATTACTCTTGATATGGGCTCTATTTAAGTAGTTTTCTCATTAATGTGTCGACAGGTATAGTTTTCTTGACAAGTCTGTTGGATTATCATCTTTGTTTGAGATAAGCAGAGACTCTGTAGTGGATGATACTTTACAGATCGTTGAGGCGTGCCACCCATTGCATGTTCCTGGTTTTGAAAGTTTGATCATTCCTATTAAAACACGAGGTTATGTGTTGAAAGTGATTAATGGGAATACTGCACTTGTACGGTGGGAGGTAAAAAAAATATACTTGAAGAATTTTTACCTTGTATTTTCATTTGCATTGTTCTAATTTGTGCTTGTACCTGTGGATATTCGTGGTAATCATGAGATTTTTTGTCCCTTCCTTGGCTTTCACTTTGTGGAATTATTATAGCTCTGTGAAAATTGGCAATTTATGGCTTACTGATGTCACCTTCTATAACATCCTTCATCGAGGCTGGGAATGGAAAAGTTTGAGTTTGCACCACTTGTAAATAACATAATATGTTGATCCGACGGTCGAATGGAGACCAGATGCGAGTCTCTTCTCATCCACCCAAGCATCAGGATAAGGAACTAACTCCTTCCATCCAAATATGTTTGTATGTGTGTGTAAATAATGCACAGAAGGTTTGGACTTATTCTGGCCCCCTCAATATTTTCATTGAACGGACAGGGATCAAACTTGGTAGTGTTTTGATGGCAACCACTTTGTGCAAATAATGTTAAAATTTAGGTCTATATCCACCCCACCCCACAATTCCTTTGATTAAAGGAGACCATGCTGGGTAATGATCCTTTTGAAAGGAATCTACGCCTTAAAATGGTGGCATGCTAACCCGAAATTCTACGATTTGTTTCTCTGTACGAGCACCACGTCAAATCTAGGGTGCCTGGTTATCAAATTGTCCTCCTCCTCCTCCTTCAGCCTCAACATGAGCTCAGCTCTCCTAGCCATTTCTATAACATGGAACTTTGCTTCTGCCTTGAAATTACTTACACCACTTCTCATCAGATTTACTCATAGGATCGAGACATGTTTGTTCTCCATGTTGTTGAATATTGGTTGTGACTGATTGGATTAGTTTTTGGTACAATAATTTGAGCATTGTGCGGTGACTAATATGTGCTTAGAAGATCATGAAGCTTTTGAATTCGAACACCTTTTGGTATATATTTCATGATCTAGTCTCCAAGAATCAGCTTTGTAGCTGAAGTTACTGAAAAAAACCCTGACACGTGGAGTGTGTTCTTTGTAGTACAAACTATCTGGAGTGCTTGTGCTGCTTTTGCGTTTGGCCCAGGAGCTGTATTTGGATAGCACTGAGGAAGTCCTTGTCACTCTTGACTTGCTTAGTCGGTTGGTGACCTTTAATGCGGTAATTGAATTTTATATGTTAGCATATTTGCTTGCCGATAATTTCATGGCAAAATTCTTTCTAGCATTGTGTCCCCATGATTGTTTAATGTACCACTTTCTCTGTATTGAATAATGTGTTCAATATGATGCAATGGTCAAGAGCTTTATGACGTTGTCATCATAGATGTGCTTTTTTTCACATTAGCAAGAGAGGCCAATAGAGAGGGTGATAAATCTCAATGAATGTTTAGGTTGATAGGGTCAACATTATAGGCCAACTCAAAACTCATGCAGAGTTTGGAATATTCTTATTGCTGGAACAACTATTGCTGACACCTTTATGCTGTTTTAAGTAAAGATCCACCAAGTTACATGAAGTTTCCTGGGAAGCAACTCTATGATGCAGGCAATTGCCTTGCAGTCCAGTTTGTTTTAGGTCATGATCTACTTGACTTATTGGTTTATATCACAAAATCTCTTGTAGACATATTTCATATTGCAAGTAGCTGTTACTAAAACACCATAGATACTGGTGTGGTGAATTAAGTTTTTGATTACTTACTTTTGATAACTATTAAGGGGCTATTGCTTGGTGTGTTTGTAAGCAAATACTTCTTTATATTTATGTCTTTGAGTCATTTTTCTTGACCAAAGTCGCATGTGCTTTGTTTCAATGATCAAATTATATGGTGGATATGGACACTTCGAGTTTTAATGAACTTCAACTAACATGTCATCCACTTGTATGTTTTTAAGTTACATTACTAATGAGGATCGTGTTGGAGTTGTATAGATATTATAGATTATTTATGAGAATTATTTAGTATTTTTTTTTTGTGTAATTTCTTTTAATTTTAAAGGACTTATTTATCATTTTGATTATATATTGGTTTTAGGATTTTGTATCCCATGTATATAGGGGTAAGGGTTCTTGTTTGAGGTAGACTTTGATTATTTTTGAATAATATTGGGCATTGTTTCTCTTGATTTCTGATTCTCATCTCCTTTTTTCTTCTACTCTCATCTCAATATCCCAATTTCTCTTTCTCTTGAACTACATCAAGTATCAAAGCTACTACGATCTTTGGTATCAGTTCTAATACGATCTATATTAATTACTCTTTTAGCTTATCATGATTGTGATTTATTTGGAACCCTACAGCTTTTGAAAAATCTGGGATACGTTTAGTCTGCTCAAAGCCTTTCCTCCCATGCAAAAAATTCAACTCATTATCTGGTTAATATAGAACAGTTCATTTAAGAGCAAACACTGACATATGGAAGAGGTCTGAGAGATAGACGCCCATGACCACTTACCTGTACATCTTGAACAATCATATCCTTGTTGATGCTTGACATTGCGCATGAAGTAAAGTTTTTTTCATTTATTATGTGCCTTGTTTTGAGTTTTCTTGTTTCATTGTTAAATCAAACTGCGCTGGTCCTTACTTTATCGTTAGGCTGTATGTTCTGCTTTTATGGAAATTGGAAATTCTTTACATGAAGAAGCGACTCCAATGAATGGGCAAGTAGAGAAGTATGCATGGTAATGAACTCTAGCCATTATATATATATATTTTTTTTTTTTGTTTTTTGTTGTTTCTTTAAACATTTGGCCATTATGGATTTGCTATATTTTCTCTTACAGTTTTTGATAATGGTTCCTTTGGCTTTTTACTGCAGGATTAATTTTGTTCAGATCATTTGCACTTTGGTCAAAAATCACAATCCTAATTGTGATGGTGTGGTGATGATGTCCCTGGGTGTAAATATTTTGGCGAAGATGTTAAAATGGTAACCCTTTTGTTTGTGTTGGGTGCATTAGTGTTTGTTAGTTTATGTGTTTTCTAAAATTTTTAGCATTATAATGTCTATTGCCTTTGAAAACTGACAAAAAAATGTTGCTGGACTTGTTTAAATTTGGTTGTTAGTGGAAAATGACATAGTTTTTTCAGAACAATGTTACATAATATGTTTTTTGATGTTACAATTAGATAGCAACAATTATTGGTGATTTCTTCCATCTGTCATAACTATAGTGGCTTATGTAGTTAAATGGTAATTGAATCGTGTGAATTTTTTGTGTGTCTTTCTTTGGGCCACGCATTTGCACCATTGGCATTGTGTTCTGGCTGGTTGTTGATTTTAATTTCTGCCTCTCTTCCCCTATATTTAACTCTTTGCAGCTCACCATCTATAGTCACTATAATGGTTCTGAAGGCAAATATTTTTGATGTTGCTTCAAGGACGAATCCCTTTGATGTTGGCTCTAATGGTTTATCAAGGTGAATCTTCACTTCGACTATACATTTTGCATTTTAAACTATTTAATTGCACAATAGGGATGTCCCAAAAGTAAAGTGTGAATGCAAAAACAATCACTTCACCTATACATTTTGTATTTTAAACTATTTAATTGCACAACTAGGTTGTCCCAAAAGTAAGGTGTGAATGCAATGATTTTGAATAGTTGCATCCTTAAATCACTAGGATCAGTCTTCGATCCAATTAATGGATTAAAGCTGGTTTTGACTTTCTTTTTACAAAATAATTGGCTAGTCTCTCTATATGTGTTTGCAATATGATTTTTTTTGCGGTCCCTATTAGTGCTATACCTATTTTCTTGTAGCGAAGATACCCTTTTCATATTACCTTATTTTTATTAAATTTTTTATGTTTCTGTTGTGGTTTGTAAATTCAGTTTTTATGTTTTATTATATTGATTAGGCATACTTGAATTATTTTTGTTGCAGTATAATGTAGTGGAAGATTTATTTAAATATCTTGTGTATGTTGGGAGTTTTTGTCTGAAGTAATTGCAAGAGCAAGAGTAGGGCAACAACATGACCTCTGCACTGATAGAGAAGCCTGCAGGAAAGAAAAAATATTCTTAGATCAATGTCTTTTGGGGGAATGGGAAAAAGAATGAGGGATTGTGTGCTTAGTGAATCTGTTGATTTGTGTTTATAATGTGCTTTTGATCTTTCTCATGGTATTGGTAATTGTCTTGGGTAAATTTTTGGCTGGAGTTCTATGGATTGTCAGGGTAATTTGGACCTATGTCAAACCATATTGGTATATCATTGTTTGATTCTTCTTTTTCTTTGGTTGTTCCAGTAGCTCATGGTTGCTTTCTGAAAGACTTGCCAAGATGCTTTTAATTGACTGTGAGCAAAATGACAACTGCTGTCCATTGACCATATCAGGCATGTATTTTATTGTTCTAATTTGTCTTGATTACTCCTTATCAAGTTTTAATTAAATAAAATTGTTGGCTAAGCTTTGTCCATAGGCCCTATCTGCTTATAAATTCAATGATGTTCATTTCTTGTATTGGCACACTTATGATAGACCACAATTGTGTCCTCCCCGCCCTTATCTTTGCAATGTTTTTGTGTTGTTATTTACACTTCCCTCACTTCTGCTATTTTGCTACGCGTCTGGTTTTTTTTTGGTAATTTTCTTCACTCAAAGCTGGCGATGAATTTAAACACTTCATTGCAGAAGCTATGACCAAATGCATCTACAATTCACTAAGGGCAGTCATACGATGTATGTTATCTGTAGCTGGGGTTAGTCACGGAAAATTGTCGTTATCCACCAAAGTTTTAATATATTTTTTGGGAGAATCATTTTAAAGTTACTAGAAATGATTACTTTGGTCATTAGAGTGAGATGGGCTTAGAGAAGCACTGTAAATCTATTTTTCAAAATTTGAAATTATGGGTATCACTTTGCCTGTGAGTATGGATTTTGTTCTTACCTTGAAAATTACTTGACGTGCATAGAACTTCTGTTCTTTGTTGTCTCATCCTGATTGTTTTATTATCGAACCTGAGGTTATGGCCTCAAGATTGCTAGCTTATAGAACACAAAAGCCTCGGTTCTTCCATGACTTAATTTGTCACGACTATTCCCATTCGGAAGTTGCTTCTCATCATTTGGATTAATGCAACATTAATTTTCTTCTTGTTCCAACTGTCTTACGTCGATGTGCATTATATTATTGGCAACGTGTCTTGTCCTGTGACTTGATTTTTTTCAACTTTGCAGTGCTCGACTTCACTATGCAGCTTGTGGAGAACGGAGTACAAAACGATGATGTCCTTGCTCTTGTCATCTTCGCCCTTCAGTATGTTTTTGTTAATCATCAATACTGGAAATTCAAGGTTAAACATGCTCGCTGGAAGGTGACACTAAAGGTATCCCCTGATTTACCTGTTTCAAAAAGAGTACAAAAACATGGCTAGTTTACCCTACTTCAACTTTGGATTACATAAATAATCATCCATATATTGGTTGCCATTAAATTTATAACTTCTCTCTTTTCTAAGCTTCAGAATTGTTGGAAGTAGGGTTACCAGAAAACGTATGACCCTTTACGATTCCCAATCTGGGTCGCACGACCCCAAATGTGGGTCGCACGACCCCAAATGTGGGTCGTTCGTGACCTGGATCGCTCAAATCTCTGACCCCTATCAAACCAGACTAAATCAAAACTCAGAATCAGAGACTCAAATTCCCAATATAAGCCCTAAACCAATATCAAACCAAATCATTGTAAATATCAAAAATTGCACGGATTAAGCTATAATAGGCCAAACCGAGTGAATAATGAAGATTAGGTTACATACCCGATGGATCCCACAAATTTTTTTGGATTACTACATCAAAAAGTGTTATGGATCACGTTCGTTTGCCACGATCAATCAATCTCCTTCTCTCCCTCTCTCTCTGTTGACTTCGCATCTTGCATATGAAGATTGGTGTGGTTCCCATCGTAGATCTCTATCTCTCTCTTCGTCGACTTATCTCCTTCTCCTTCTCTCTCTGCTTCGACGTGGGTTTCTTTTTTCCCGTTTCTTTCTCTTTCTCTCTCTCTCTTTTCTATCTATACTATCAACACTTAAGTTTTTTTTGATAAAAAGACAAAAAAAATCCTTTATTTTACAAGACATGTTATCACACACTTTGGATAAAAAAGTTAAAATACTAATGTCTACCAATTAGGCAGCGGTCTTATTGAAAGACTACAACTTTTTATACGCAACTAGCCTGGCACCCACCTACTAGTTCTAGCATGCTTCATCCTTACATACTTCTATGCCCGTCTCTATTGACAAGTCACCTACTAGTTCTAATAGGCCACCGCTTCGTTATTTCGGATTGCATCAGAATCAAATTAGTAACTTTGCAAGAGGAGAAAACACTGCAAAAGATAAAGGGAAAAGAGTTGACAGTTAATTCATGTGCTCCAATTTTTCTTATTGTTAAGTAATGTTTATTTGAAATTTGTTAGATGTTTAAGAGTGTTATTTTGATTTGTGCTTCAAGAAGGAAACTATTTAATCATTCTCTTGTATGTTTTTTTTTAAATTTTAAGTCTTTAAATTTATATGTTGTCTTTTTCTGATAATAAAATATGCAATCATTACTATTTTATACATGATTATTAGTTGATGTGTTGTTGTTGGTCTTGATTTGCATTTTATAATGTATATATTTATATAATTCTTTGTAATAATGAAAACGATCCGGATAATAGTTCAAAGCGAACCGCGACCCAAAATAGTGTACCAACTAAGTCTACTCCCACCGCACTGTGCACCAGAGAAAGTAACGTACCCCGCACCTGTACTCATACCACGTACCCAACCGACCCGCGATCCGGGCAACCTTGGTTGGAAGTAAATAAACATACCTGCACAAATTATGCAAACTGGGGAGCAGCATTGGCTTGACCAAAACTTCTAACAACACGCTGTAGTGTGGAGTAAAAGCTTCCTCATACCCAAGCATACTTTGACATTCTTAATGGGAATAATCCATTCTGTTGATGAGAATGGCTATACATCAGAAAGTAAAAAGGTTGGACAAGTCATTCAACCTAACATCAAACAATAGAAAAGGCATTACATAGGAGACTTCCACTACAAAGGTGCATGGTTATAACTCCCATAAAGTTCTCCATTGCGCCAATATTCAAAGGATAGTTCCCACAAAGTCCTTCTTGATTGATACCCAAATATACCCTGAAAGATAGGTCTGATCCAATAAGCCATCCACAACCTCTCATCTGTTTTGAAATATTAAAGAATTTCTTTTCTTCCAAATGACCCAAACCATAGCAAAAATTTCACAATCCATAGAGTAACCCCAAACCGTGGCTCCTAAGTCTGAACAAATATTGAAGAAGAAGAGCAAGGAATCATCCATCTCAATCCTGCCATGTTAAACAATTTGTTCCACAAACACAAGGCAGTAGGATAGCACAAAACTGAATGATTTACACATTCACTATCACATCGACATACCACAACCTTGTGGAGATAGACAAACTTGGGGTCTTCTCCTTTGAAGCATGTCATTGGTATTGATCCTACCATGAACAACATACCATGCACAAACTTGTATCTTAATAAGAACTTTAGCCTTCTATACCATGGAATATGGGGATAGTGGTGAACAATAAGGATCATCAATCAAAGATTCAAATGACGACTTACTAGAAAAGACATCTATAGAACCATGAACCCATCATCTTCTATCAAAAGACCCTTGATTCAAATATAATCATTAAACCAAATCTAGAGAATCCTTGTCATTTACATTTCAACTTTGCCTAAAATCCCTAGAAAGTGAAAGAGAAGAAAACCAAATCATAGAAACAGTAGAAGCACCATGAGCATTATATGAATGATAGGGATGAGGAAACAAGCATCGCAAGGATTTAGAGAACAAGTTGAACACAAGTAGGTTGACCTTGGAATATTACAGAACAAGTTAAGCACTTGAAAACCAATCCAATCTGCATAATTAACATTATCTTGATCAATGCCAAGTGTTCTTCCTGTGGATCTCCACATTACCTGCTTGTTAACCTATTAAAAAGAAAGGGCAATTCCAGCTTGTTAAACTTTGATATTACAACTCAATAGGAAAAAAATTGTCTACATCTCTTGTATCTTTCTGATTTCCTTAAATGTCGTTTGTCTGTTGCTCCTCAAACAACATATGAAAGAGATGAGTCTTTATTTTTTCATAGCCATCCATGGTATGTCCGAGAGCTGGTGTATAATGAATATTTTAATGGTGTAAAGGTGTTACAGCAGATGTCATGTGGTATTTCTTTCTTTCTGTTGTTGTTTTTTCAATTGTTCATTTTTATGCCATGATATAAATAAGGGAAAATCACAAACTTCATTACTACTTATAGTGGGTATCTCCCGTCTGTGATGGTATGTATGGGCAGACATACTCTGCAAAGTACATGATTGTTGAAATGGTTGTATTCTATGTTTGCATCATCTTGCATTGTGTTAACCCGAAGTTTAAGCTGGAGTTTGACGCTGTCATCAATGCTCCCTCCAATTCTATTGAATTCACTATACTGGGATTGGACTGTAATTCAGTTTTAAGTATTTCAACCTGGTCAAATATGTACATAATTTCTGTTATTCCAAACCTTTTCCACCATAGAGCTATCTTACACTAAATTCTTGTTTTATCTGATTTCCTCGGCCGCTGGACATTAAAATGTGGTCTCATGGTGGCTGATACAGTGGTTCATGGAGGCAGGTTTTAGTTGTATATATCTAATTTTGATATGCATTTATTGTTGTAGGTGCTTGAAGTGATGAAGAAATGCATTTTGTCAGTTCCATACAGTCGGAAACTGGGTGAGGTTGTCCGAAATGTTTTACTTTCTGATTCTTCCATTCACAATACTCTCTTTCACATTGTTTGTACTACTCCACAAGATTTGGAGGTCAGTGTCGCTGCCTTTTTTCATTATCTTTGCCCTTTTCTCATTATCTAAGGATATGCATGTTTCAGTCATGATATACTCATTTGCACTTACAGAAAATATATGTCAGCCGCCTTTACGATCTGATGGAGATTGAAGGATTACAGTTGGCTATATCTTCCGCTTTGGATATCCTCTTCAGCATGCTTTCTGATCTCTCAAAGGTATGCCGCCTTGTTAGATTTTGACTCACATAGCCCTTTAGGAATGATTTCTTAAGATAGCATATCCTGCCAGTGCATGCCTTTTTCATTGGTAAGTAATTTACTGGTTTTGCATTGGATAGTTTAATATTTAATTCGACATTGTATTGGCTAGTCCTGGAAATTTGATGCTCTCTTTCTCTTTCTCTCAGGCATTGAGTATAGTACTTCAGAAGTTTTAACTGTTTTTAATTATACATGTTGCAAGTTTGCATGAAAACACCTACACATTCAATCGTATGTGTGTATATCTAAGAGAAAGTGGCAGACTGACTGGTTTAGTGATAACTGCTACATAAATGTACGGTGGATGTTTTTTTTCAGCCAGTCACTTGAGAACAAAAATATGATTAACTGGTGCTATTTTTTCAGGATAGCCTCCCTAGCCTTTCGGCCTTTCATCAAGTGATGCTGTCATCCACAACCAAACCCATTCCAGTAGTTACAGCAGTGATATCATTGATTTCATGCTTCAGGAATCCTGTATGGCTCTATGGCGACATGTTGTTTTTACGTCTAAATTTTTTGCTTTTCACTTACTTTTCCCAGTAGTTACCTTTTCTTCAGTAGTACATTCTGCACTTTACCACTGGTTTCTGTGAATGTTATTATTATGATGTGTCCACTTAAATATATGTGCAACTAACTATTTACTATTCTCACATATGTTGTGCAATTTAAATGCATCATTATCAAAACGTGAGTGGAGTTTCAGTATTTTGCTACTTGTCATAGGTTTCTGATAATATCGTCTAAATTTTAAAAGTATTGCACGTAAATATTAAGTATGTGTTGGAGATCTATTTTTATTTTTCCTTTCCGTGTGTACTGGCTTATAATGTGTATATCATGCATTTACTCCTGAATAGGCGTGTGAGTGAGCGTGGTTGGAGATAATTCTCGTATATGTTTGCTCTCTGGCATTAACATCGCTTTTCTTGTACAAATTTGTGAGAGACTTGTATATGTTCAATTTCAGAAACTCAATCCATTTAAAATCACATAATTTTCAGATTTTGCATTGCTGTCATCTCCTGTGCAGGGATTGTTTTATATATCTTTATTCCTTTGCATGAGTTCATTGTCCTGTGTATCTTCAATATTGTTTTTTGAGTGAAAACCTGAATGGTGCTTAAAGTATACCCCTAGTTTCTTTTCAGTCCTTGAATTAGATTTTTCTAAGACCTTTTAACTTTTTCATTTGAGTATATGTGCATGTGCTGTCCAATTTCGACATTTTGTATCAGAAAGTGACACATGCACTTCTTATGTGATTGCAGTAGAGGTATTTATGTAAATCGTAAAAGATCTCACCTACCCAAAATATTCCCGACCTACCAACCAGATCTAGATGGCCACTCAACCTGCCTTATCCTTCTTCTATGGATTTCACTAACCAAGCCACAAAAATGACTCAATATTGTACAACCTAACTCACAAGCATAGTGACAGTTGTTAACAAAGAAAAACTTGAAACATGATGAACATGATTTAATGAATATACATTCCACAGATATTATGCAATTGAATTGGTGAATTTGTAGGTTATGTGTTGAATCTTCTTTTTTTTGGCTGACCCTGGAATCACCCCTATAGCCTCTCCTGTGTTACCAATAACAATGATAATTCTATAACTGATGATTTTAGAGAAGCTTAGGCCAACATAGAAGCTGAAGCAAACCCTAGTATTTGATGGATCCACAGGTATACTTGGTATTTATGAAATCGTAGTTGAGATGGGCTTGGTGTCATCAGACAATGTTGTGCAAATTGAAGCTTTTGTGCTCCGAAAAATGTTTTCAAAAGTGATTAAGAAATGATACACAAGATGGTGGAAAAGAAGAAAGTGCCTAGAAGAGTGCTCAAGGGTCAAAAGACTTTGGGGAAACTGGTAATGGAGAAATTAGGAGGTCTGAAGGGTGGTGAAATGGTTAATTTCGGTTGTTTGGGTGAGGTGGGAATCCTAATGCTAGAGTTAGAGTCATCATCATCGATTGCTTGTAGAGGCTGCTTGTGGTGGTGGAGGATCAAAAAAAAGGGGCAGATGTCTAGTTTTACAAATAGAGAGAGAGAGAGAGAGAGAGAGAGAGAGAGAGAGAGGTATTTGATTTTGCACTGATTGTTTGTGCATAGGGGGAATTCTGATTTGACTAAGGAAGTATAAGTTTGATGACATTGATAGGCTTGGCGGGCAGGTTGGACAGTTGGGTTTGGGTGTGGGAAGTTGAGTTATTTTATGACTTGTCTCAGATAACCTTGCAGGGATCACGTGATATTTCTTGTAGGGTATTTTAGATAGAATTGGATGGAAGGTTCACATTTACTCAAACTGATAAGTAATGGTGGAACTTTGAAAAATTTGTGGTTGACTCAGTTTTGAATTGGTGATTTATGGGCCTTGTAAATTGATTCTTAAAGACTCAATTATGAAGTATTAAATTTAGCACCCTTTTATTTTTGGGTGAATGTTGTATGTGACGTCTTGTGGGTAGATTTACAATATTCTTTTCCTCAAGTAAATAAACTTATTCCTAAAAGAACGATTATACAATATAGCTCAAAATACATCCAAGTATGTGCATATTCCAAAAAGGCCACAATGAGCGTACCTCATGAAGGAGCACTCCCCAGTCTGTCAAGGATATTACAAATTGTCACAAAACCCAGAGGAGACAGGTGTTTGTACTTAAAAGTGTTTAGAATTAATATTTTGTGGAAGATAAATTTTTTTATTTCGGTAGATTATTTTGATACTGGGAAAAACTTGAAAATTTGTTTCCCAAAATTGATTGAAACACCTCTATACATTGGTAATACGATAACTGATTATTGATTCGTTTCGATTTCCTTGAAAACAGAAATGTTTTGGACGTTTCAACCATTTTGGAATAAAATTTTGGTCTGTGACATTGCTGCTTCATTCATTAATTATTTAGAATGCTGCCCCATTGTGAAAAAATTCTAGGTCCACCTCTGTTAATGAATAGTAGACCTTTATTGTGACAAGATATAGTGTGAAGTCAATAGTTAAAAGACCTTTATTGAGACAAAATTTAGTTTAAAAGCTAAATTGAAACTAGGGGTACAGTTTAAAGGCCATTTAGGTAACTTGTTCTTGTTTTCTTCTAATTTTGGATGATAAGTCAAATTGCATTTACTTGATGTTGAGTTTTCCGTGCAGAGAATTCAAATGGGTGCAGTAAGAGTACTGTCTATGTTATTAGTTGTTGCTGAATATTCACAATTGTACGTGTTTCGGAACGCATGTTTTGGGCTGGATGATAAGCAGGTTAGTTGTTGTGCTGATGCTTATTTGTAGGATCCCTTTGTTTGCTCAAGTTCACCGACTTGATAAGTAGTTCTGATTCTTAATCCTGAACGTATGCTTGGGGCAGATTGCAGATTTTAGGAATTCTGTAAATAGCATTCTTTGTGAGCAATCACTATGGAATGAAGATCTCATTGTTGCTACTCTCAAACTGCTGACATATGCAGCACGCTGTCAGGTTTGTATTACTTGGGTGCATGAATAGAATGTATAATTGTTGTTCAAATGTCATATAAACACAGGAATGCAAGTTCTTCAATATCTTGTATTTCAGTATTTTCTCTGATTTTACTTTGATTAATTCTTTACATACTAGGTAGAACTTCAGAAGATTTGGATATTGATGTTTAGTCCTTAGATTCTGCAAATATATGGTCATCTTGATATTATGGGATATTGCCTTGTAGCATTATAATGTGTAATCTATGTGTTCATGATAGTAACTAATTATGTCTTGTTGCCTGTATTTATATATCTTGAATTTCCAACATTGTTATATTGAACAAATATTTTTGTATTGCCTCTTATATATAAACGAGCTTTAACTAGTTGGGTCTCAATAATGTTAACTGTTTCTTTGTGCCCAAGTTTAGCCAATAACACGAAGGGAAACAATGTGTGAGCTCTTGAAAACCAGTATTAGCTTGAGAACATCTCAAATATCATGTTTTGCACTTTTTCCATTTTTGGATGGATTCCTTGTCCACTACATTGTACTTTTTACTATACTCTACTCAAGGAAAGTTTTGTTTCCTATATAAAAAAAAAAAAAAACTTGCCTTTGCGCAGCATAGGTCATTCACATCTGTAAGTTTTTAACAGTTAACTGCATTCATATAAATGATTTCTATCTGCAGCCTGCTTTTCTTGCTGCTGTAACTGGTTTCAAAGAGAATGTAAATGTCCAATTAAGCGGGGATGATGGTGCCAAGCGTCCAGATGGAGGTGCTATTGGGTCTCTGGTTTCTAAAGAAGCAAATCTGTTAGATACAATTCTGCAATATGTTGGAAGATCTGAACATCTTATCAAGAGGTACACTACTTCTATTCCCCTACTTTCTGTTTTCTTGTGAGTTTGATTTTGTTTGGAATGCCTCTTTTGTTTTCTATATGAAGGGTGACACATTTTGATTTGATGAGTTTTATCTTCAGCAAACCCTACTTGCTTCTGAATCTTCTAAACTTCCTGAAGGCATTGTGGCAAGAAGCTGTTCAATTTACAACTATGCTGGAGTTGCTAAAAAAATCTGAAAAGTTCTGGAGTCAGTTAACCAGTTCTATCTTACTGACCACTAGCATACATGATGACCCATCTGAAAATCTGACAGAAACAGAGGCTTTAAGCTCAGCATATAGATATCAATGTCAAGGTGATATATTGCAAATAATGGCTTATGAGATATTCCTGCAAAAGAAGCTATTACAGTCTGAATCATCAAAGAATGGGATAGAAAATAAAGTTCATTCTGAAAAACCAAAAGATGCTAGTTTATGTGGTCTGAACAATATATTGTCAACCTGGCAAGAGAGCTCAGCTTTCGGAAATCTGATCAAGTCATATGCGTCATGCAAATATGACAATGATGTATATCTTCGTGCAAAGGTGAACTTACATCTGCTTTCTTTTTCGCCATCTTTATGCATCTTTTTCTGTCCATCCATTTGGTTACAATTTGATGTTCTTTTTTGTCCATCCTTTTTGGTTGCTCACTTGTTACCATTAAGACTATTACTGAGCAGAAATCAACTTAGGTCATATAGATACAGCGCACCAGTCTTGTGTCATGGTGTGTTGTCCCGGCTTCTTAATGTAATTACATTAGTGCAGACCACTGCATACATGATGACCCGTCTGAAAATCTGACAGAAACAGAGGCTTTAAGCTCAGCATATAGATATCAATGTCAAGGTGATATATTGCATATAATGGCTTATGAGATATTCCTGCAAAAGAAGCTATTACAGTCTGAATCATCAAAGAATGGGATAGAAAATAAAGTTCATTCTGAAAAACCAAAAGATGCTAGTTTATGTGGTCTGAACAATATATTGTCAACCTGGCAAGAGAGCTCAGCTTTCGGAAATCTGATCAAGTCATATGCGTCATGCAAATATGACAATGATGTATATCTTCGTGCAAAGGTGAACTTACATCTGCTTTCTTTTTCGCCATCTTTATGCATCTTTTTCTGTCCATCCATTTGGTTACAATTTGATGTTCTTTTTTGTCCATCCTTTTTGGTTGCTCACTTGTTACCATTAAGACTATTACTGAGCAGAAATCAACTTAGGTCATATAGATACAGCGCACCAGTCTTGTGTCATGGTGTGTTGTCCCGGCTTCTTAATGTAATTACATTAGTGCAGACCACTGCATACATGATGACCCGTCTGAAAATCTGACAGAAACAGAGGCTTTAAGCTCAGCATATAGATATCAATGTCAAGGTGATATATTGCATATAATGGCTTATGAGATATTCCTGCAAAAGAAGCTATTACAGTCTGAATCATCAAAGAATGGGATAGAAAATAAAGTTCATTCTGAAAAACCAAAAGATGCTAGTTTATGTGGTCTGAACAATATATTGTCAACCTGGCAAGAGAGCTCAGCTTTCGGAAATCTGATCAAGTCATATGCGTCATGCAAATATGACAATGATGTATATCTTCGTGCAAAGGTGAACTTACATCTGCTTTCTTTTTCGCCATCTTTATGCATCTTTTTCTGTCCATCCATTTGGTTACAATTTGATGTTCTTTTTTGTCCATCCTTTTTGGTTGCTCACTTGTTACCATTAAGACTATTACTGAGCAGAAATCAACTTAGGTCATATAGATACAGCGCACCAGTCTTGTGTCATGGTGTGTTGTCCCGGCTTCTTAATGTAATTACATTAGTGCAGAACTGATTGCTGAGGTGTTGTTTGTTGTTAGGTGTAAGTTAAGGCTTCTTAATGTCACACTCAAGGAAAGACTTGAGCCAGGTCCTGGGTGTAATCTTTAGAGGTTTTGATGATAATGAGGCTGTCTCCACGCGCCCCTTTCTTAATATAAAGTGAAATTATATGTTCTCATCATTTCCACTGTACATGTGCCAACTCTAGGCACATGTTCTTTTGTCTTTTGACTAATGTCTATGCAGGTACTTAGTTATAAAAGTATTTCAGCATCCAAGTGTTTAAGTGTTTTGGTTGATTGCATCTCTCTCTTTTTCCATCTATATTTGAGCTTAATACGAGGTTGAGGTTTCTAAGTCACCATGTTGAGGGAATATTGGATTATATGAGTTGTTTGTTCTAATTTTCATCCAATGTAACATTATAAGCTGCCATCTAAAAGCTACCTCATAGTTTTTGCAGGATGAGACATTGTGGGCTCAATATTTTTCTTTTCCTTTTTTGGGTCAGGGCAATAAATTTTGTTGACTCTATTTCTTGTAAACCAGAGTGGACAAGTGCTACCAATGTGAGCGTGACTTTTGTTTAAAATGTATCATAAGCCTCCCACTGAAGTTTATTGTAGAAGCATTTGAAGAATGCTTATGGAAATTATGTCATGTTAATTCAAAAAGCTTTGTGCCAGGTTCAATTAGTGCCCTTCTTGGCTTACCATCAGTTGTGTCATGATGCTTCGCAGTAAAAATAGACTAGTAATATCTTATGTTATAGTTGAGTGCTTATTCACTAGTTTATAATTTATAGGTGGATATTTACCCTCATTTTTCTTGAGATTTGTCCAAATAACGATGGGACTCCCTCATACCTAAATAATTGTTGGGACCTCCCTTGGACTAACAATTCAGTAGACTCGGATATAACCGAAACTTTAACTTCACATTTCTACTCATTGAAAATAAGGAATTTGAAAACCCCCATAAAATTTAAAAATAAAATATTGGTTTTTGGGAGGGAATACCTTTGTTAATATTTTAGGTTAACTATAATCAAAGAGTACTTTAGCAAGCTCTCCCAGCTATGATGTGTCCCTATTCCCAACTTCTCATATGCAGAAATTATTCTAGACTGGGGCTAGTGAAGGTACTGAGAGACTTGGGCTTAGCATGGAAGGGAAGGAAATGGGGTGAAGAAATTAAGTGTTTTGAGTCAAGACTATTTTCTAAATTAATAGTTGTGTAGGCTAGCACAAGACTTGCCCATTAGACGTGGATTGGGACAGTAGAAGAACATTGGAGAAGGACTGCAGGAGTTTTCTACAGTAAATCTCCATTACGCTATGTTTAAATGGCTGCAATCTAGGGCTGGAATGTGAATCTCATTGTTTTCTTGATTCAGATCCTATGTTTGGTATGCTCTATTATTAATAAGAAGCTTATCTTTATAAATAAGATTCTTACAAAGAATGGGCAACTCATTTACACATGAAGAGTTAATAACCTCACAACTGATCTAATAACCTATTTTTTGATGAATTATAACAATGCCAAATTTTAAAAAAAATATTGTTCTCTGCGTCACTCCCTGTTTCTTGGCAATGAAATCTTGCTTCATAAAGAGTGAGGATGGAGGTAAAACGAAAGAGTTGCACAATCACCAATAGTTTTTGTCTATTTCTGCCATCAATCTGCATTTTTGTCAATGCTTGAAGTGGCATATAATCAACAATTTCTCCTTGAATCCTTGACATGCTGCTCTTTTAATGCTCCACGAACCTCCCATCTCTGTTATCCGAGCGCAGGACATCTTATTCATGAACCCCTTTTAAAAGATAATTGGTTTTGTACCCTAAAAGGTGGTTCCATCCTGCATACTATCTAATATAGTCATTTATTGGTCCATCTCTAGGTTCTGCCTCTTGATTCCCTACCCAATGGGGACGGGACATGGGCACTTTTCTCTTCACCCAGTGCTTTCTTTTTTTCTAGTGTGCCTATTTATCTATTATTTAGTCTTTTTCTATCCTCCTGGTTTAGACAGGCATTCTGCTGTCTCCATTGTCTTACTGTTTATCTTCGCCTTTCCTATTCTTAATTTCATAGAAAAAGTTCAAATTCTCCATATGCTCGATATACTATTTATGTAAGAAATCCCAAGTGGTTAAATTAAATTTGAAAGTTAACTGAAAGATGAAAAGGAAAACCCGAAATTAAGTCTATTATCTCTATTCCTTTTCCCCACACATCTCCATTCTCTTTTGCCCATTCTTTTCTAAAGTTTCCATTGAAAGTTATCTTATCTACAAGCATGATTCAATGTATCAATATCAATACAACTTAGCCGAGTCGTATCCAACCCGGCTCCTTGTAAACCATGAGTCTCATGCTATTCGACCAAGTCTTCCGGGACACTTCTGAGTCAACCCTGAAGCACCTGAGTCACTATATGCGTCGATACCGTTCCATGACGACATGATATGGTTTGAATCTCTTGTTATGTTAATTTTTCTATTAAGCATTTTGTGCATATGACCTAATTCCATTTTGCGGCACTATGATCTGTGTCTCAGTCTCCTCTTAGTTGATTGTTGATATTGCAACCTAGAATCATGTTTGCAAGCAATTATCAATATTCTCTCTATTAATACTTTCAAACTAAAACCTTATCCCAATAAACCCCTTTATCTCATTCTTTCTCTTCCCTATGCCTTCCGCCACCATAGCAGCCCATCTCTCACTTTCAAATAGCGCACTTATAGGTTGAAAAAATTGACTCTAGGACCACTAACTTGTTTACAGTGACGACAGCGCTACTTTTATAGTTGAAGACACATGTATAGTGTCTTCCAACTAGGTAAGTTTTGTCTTCCATATCTTCAAGCAAGTTGAAACCTGTTTGGTAGTTTTTTAGTGTTATTCCTTGATTATGGAGATTGGCAACAATAGGAATCATGCAAGAAGGTTGGAAAATACTTATGTGCATAAGGGTTAAACCAAGTCTTATAGGTTGTATATCACTATAACCCTAACTTTAATTGTGTCTTTTAATACCCTCTCCTTATCTTGTTATTTTGACAATATAATATTAGCGATATACAATTGCAGGGTTTAGTTTTGTATTATAGCTGTTGATTTATGATTTCCGGCAAGAGGCATGGTTTTTGTTGGCTGGAGTTCACTTCTAGTCATTTATAAGTTTATGCTTTTCTAGCAAAGCATACTGTCATATATCCCGTGTTCAGCTTGATTTGCCAAAAAAGCCATTTGGCAATACCTGGTTTTCAACCAAGAGGCCCACTTCATTAGAATTTGACTATCAGTGGCAAATTTCTTCTTTTTTTTTTTTTTTTTTCTTTTCTATTTTATGCCACCCTTACAAACTATGATCATGATGCTGCTTTCTCTTTTACCGTCACTGCATTAGCAATTCAGGGATATATCAATGCCTTTTTTTCAGCCAAGAGACCTGCTTCATTAGTATTTGACTATCAGTGGGGATTTTTTTTCTATTTTGTGCCACCACCGCCGTAGTGTCATCATGATGCTTTTTTCTCCTGTATCACGTAATTGCATTTGCAATTCCGGTGAATATATCAATTCTGAATATTCATGTTGCCCAGGGCTGGAAGTATGAGTTTTCTTCTTCAACAGCTTTAAATGGGAGTTACCTTTGAAATCAATTCCATGCATCTGATTCCATGTGGTGTTGATCCTTCATATATGAAAAAGATGCTTAGTGATGAGCAACTGTGGCATGCTGTTTTCACATATACTTGTGAAGTATGCTTCTGTTTTCTTGTAAGGAAGTGCATTTATATTGATGAGGAACTTTGCAGATCGCTGGGGCTTTGGTTTCTGTGCATCTGATGGCGAAATTAAAATGCGGGGACACTGGGAGTCTGTCTGTAGCATTAATTGATAAGATCCATATCTTGTCACAAAAGGTTTGATCCTGCCTCTATCATGTGTAGTTTGGATTAGCTGAAACTATACTAGTTGCTTTCCAGTGATGTTTGTGTACTTGCAAAATGATGGAATAAGTAGTACATTAACTTCAAGTTTTAGTCCATCCAATATAAAAATGTAGGTTCAATTTTCTCCTGTTTCATGTTTCTCTTTATTCTTTTGAGGTCCCTTGGTCTAATTCAGTTTTTGTGTGTTCTCCATCCACAGTTGTGCAGTCTGCCTGCCTTCAATGAATTGTCAAGTCAATACACGGAGCGGGGTTACAGGTATTGTACACACAATTGTAGTGTTTTACTGGAAAAAATTTTCAAGTGGCAATTTTAAGTGGTGCATCAACGTGTTCATTGATTTTAATATATAGGTTTATATTTTTAAGTCAAAAAACCATGTTGACATGTCTGATAGATAATCTGTTAATCTTGCTATAGTGTTGACTAAATAAGAAAATAAAAAAGAAATTATATGGAATTTTCATGTCACTATACTATTACCAAATTTAATGGAGGGATTGTTGATGATGTTTCTTTAAGAGGATTGGGGTGGCAATGGTCTTTTGAAAGCTACGGGGGGGTACTTTAATACAACTCAACAAAATCTTGTTCCAATATTTTTGAGATTGGCTACATGAATCATGTTTTGCTATTTTGCTCTAGTAAGGGGCCATGTTTTATGTTAAACCATAAATCATTAAATATTTTTTTTTAGTATTTTATTCAAAATTAAGGTTGGTCTTTCTTCACCTTTACTCTTACTGATAATAGCTATCATATCATTCATTCTCACTGGTGCACTGTCTATAAATATATCTAAACCATTTAAGTCGTTTCTCCCTTAATTTATCTCATATATGTGCTACACATCCATCCTAATCCTGATGTTGTATTATGTTTCTAAAAAAAAAGAAAAAAAAAAGAATAAAAGACCCTTCAATAAGAAAAAAGAAGAAAAAGATGGAGGGACAAGGGAGAAAGAGAGAGAATAGTCTAGTTACTTGTACTTTCAAGAACTACATATGGTTGCCTTCGGCTATGAAAAAAATTATGTTTATAGTTTTGTGTGCTATGGTCTCTTGCAATCATTGACATTACATATTTTGTTCTTTATGTTTTAATAGTTGCCAACAATGTTTTTTCCCTTAGGGGTAAGTGTGTAGATTGTTAGTGTTGTACGGACTATATAACTGTTGGAGATTTATCTATTAAGTAGCAAACATAGACTTCCTAGAACATCCAAATCATTAGCATAACAAGAAACAAGGAAAAGTAAAGCAGGTTCCCAAACAGTAAATAAACACCAACAGTAACTAAACACCACTATTGAAGCCCCAAAAACTGACTATTGAACATAAGAAACTCAAAAAATATGCTCAAATCATTTTAAATCTATTGGGCATTACTACTTGGCCTAGAAAACATAGAAATTTTATTTTGGCCAGAGTGTCGGTGTCGGACACATATGAGATATAAACATGTGCTGAAATAAGTGTCTCATTTTTTTATTGTTAATTTTTTTTCAGAACACTTTGGGGTCATGCAACCAATTTGCTTTGGACACGTTTTGAGATCTTTTTTTTCAAGTTTTTTAGAACTTTTTGAGTTATTTTTGTAACTTTAAAGAGATACGACTTGAAGTCATAAATATAAAAGGAGTTATTATCAATATATTGAACATAGGACATAAATGTAACATAATTTTGGATACGAATAGGAACTTATACTTTTGAAAGTGAACGTTGTAGTAATCATTGACATAGTTATCAAATCGTGTATCGGAAGGCGTATCGTAAGATACAAATATTGTATCGTATCGTGTATCGTATCGTGTATCGTAAGATACGATGCAATTTTAAATAAATAATAAAAAAATATATATACCTTTGAAAAAAAGTCATACACTCATAAAAAATATAGCATTTCATTAATACTCCACCAACTATTCAAGTTATCAACATAATCCACTACTATTATAATGCAAAGTTCACAACCATAGTTCACTAATTCAAACTTTAAACACCAAAGAGACTTCTAATCCAAATTTCTAACATCCATTTTGAACTCAATCTTCAATTTCAATTGAAAATGCATCATCATCATCATCATTGTGATCGGATGCCAACAAGTCTTCACTTCCTTTATCATCTTCAACTTCTTGTATTTGTTCATCCTCATCCTCATCCTCATCCTCATCTTCAAGTTGAACTATTTGCTTTCCTTTTTTCTTGCTTAAAGTAAGATTTCTAGGCCCTACAAAGCAACCAATACAAAATATAAAAAAAATAAAATTCAAAGTAATGGAGAAGAAGAAAAAACAACCACTACATTTTAATTACCTCTCTTTCTCTTTTGCTAGTCCCTTCTTGAACCTCAAAACATTCACCAACATTCATCCAAGTAGTGTCCTCAGGAAGGAGTGCATCTTCTTTTTCAGTGATCCACTCATCATCAGATTCCATATCTGAGAGAGAAATAGGATCATAGGAATCACCCTCTAGTATTCTCTTTTGGTGTCTTGCCTCCAATCGAAGATTGTACTTCACAAACACAAGTGCACTTAATCTTTGTTGCTCTAATCGATTTCTCCTCTTAGAGTGCACCTGGTCAAATGTACTCCAATTCCTCTCACATCCAGTGGCACTACAAGTCAAGCTAAGGACGCGGATAGCAAGTTGTTGCAACTCTGGACAACATCCTCCAAATGATTCCCACCACAAGGCTATAAAAAATTACAATAGAATACTCTATTAACTAACTTAAGCAGTTGCATTCAAATAACCAACTTAAGTTAAGTTACCACTAACCAGGTTGTTTCTTCTTCCTCATTTGGATTGCCATGTCCATTCCAAACATCAAATCAGCATTATGAAAGATATCTAATTGTTTATCAACTTTTTCTCTCATAATAGGACTTGGGCACATTCTCTGAATAGTCTGATATAGTCCCATCTTTATCTCATAGTCCGCACTACCGGTGTAATGAAACCTGAAATAATTATTTTGATTTACAATGATCATTGATCAGCATACAATATATAGATATAAAATGATATAAAAATTGAGAAAATTAAGTCTTACGCGGGATTGAGATAATAGGCAGCTGCATGAAGAGGTCTGTGTAATTGCATGTTCCATCTAGTGTCAACAATAGTCCATATGGGCTCATAGTGCTTCTTCACATTACAAAATTCTTTTGGATTTGTTCCTTTGCCTTGTCCATTGCCTCATAAATATACCCCATGGCAGGCTTTAGATCCCCATCTACAAGCCTCAACACCTTCACCAATGGCAACACACACTTCAAGCAATACTTGATTGATCCCCAAAAATTTTGGTCAGCTAGTATAATATCCATCACTTTTACACCATCTCCCTTCTTACAATATTGACTTCTCTGCCATTCCTCAGAAGCAAACATTGCTCTAAGCCCAATTTTATTTTCAAATAAACTCCTTAAAGTTAAATATGAGGTGGCAAATCTGGTCACACAAGCTCTCACCAAATCCCTTTTCTTTGTATACTTTCTCATAAGATTTAACACCCAAGAATGTCTATAAATGTAAACTGTGATTTTCCTTGCCTTTGACATTATATCCTTGTGCAGAGGAAGGTCCCCAATATCCGTCAAAATGAGATCTAGACAATGTGCACCGCAAGGAGACCAAAACAACTTTTTCCTCTTTTCCATTAACAACTCCCCAGCTTTTACATAAGCCGATGCACTATCAGTTACAACCTGAACAACATTATCCTCACCAATCTCTTCTACCATTGAATCTAAAAGCTCAAAAAGATTATCCGCATTCTTACAAATACCTGAAGTATCAATACTTTTAAGAAACACACTTCCTCTAGGACTATTCACTAAAAAATTAGTGATAGAGCGATGTTTCCCATCAGTCCATCCATCAGACATAAGAGTACAACCCGTCCTTCTCCACTCTGCTTTATAATTTTCCATCAACCCACCATTAATCAAATTTGTTTCTTTTTTCAAAAAAGAACATCTCACCTCATGATACGATGGAGGTTTCAATCCCTTACCAAACGATGCAACAGATTCTAACATTCTTACAAAATATGGATCCTTTACCAAATTAAAAGGAAGGGCATTAGCATAAAAACATCTACAAATATCCAAGCATACATCTTCCCTACCCTTTTTCTTCAACATAGTATTCAAAGTAATTGTGGTGGTTGGCTGTATTTTATCAGCAGTAGTACTACCCACACTGCCACTACTTTTCGAATCCACAAGACTCATATCTTTGCTAATTGCCCTATCATCCAATAATTGCTTAAAAAATTCAGTTACTTCCTCAGGGCAATGCTTACACGCTGCTACATCTTTGCGATTACTTGCCAAATGATTTTTCATTCTTGAAATGCCTCCCCAATAGACATTTGCACAATGAATGCATTTCAATTTCAACCTTGATCCTTCTACTTTGTCACAATGTTCCCATGTGGGATCATTAGCAAGTTTTTTAGTCATTTCTATATGAAAATTGGATGCAGGTGATGCCACTGTTGCACAAAATTAAAATTAATCAAGATTCAGAAATTTTTATACAAAAAAATTTATATACATTTGGCTTTGTAAATAAATTAATATCATTACATACTGCACAGGACCAACGATCAATGGAGACTGGGAAGAAGAAGAAAAAGGAGTACCTGGAGAAGGAAGAAGGCAGCGATCAACACCCACAGTCGGAGACAAGCAATCACCCACAGACGAAGACCGGCAATCACCCACAGTTGGAGACCACCCACAATCGATCACCACCCAGACTCGAAGACCACCCACAGTCGAAGACCACCCACCCAGTCGGAGACCAGTCGAACAGACTCGAAGACCACCCACAGTCGAAGACCACCCACCCAGTCGGAGACCAGTCGAACACAGTCGAAGACCACCCACAGTCGAAGACCACCCACCCAGTCGGAGACCAGTCGAAGACCAGTCGGAGACCAGTCGAAGACCACCCACAGCGATCACCACCTACAAGTCGAAGACTTCCCACAGTCGATCATCACCCACCCATAGACGTCGGTCGATGGCTGAAGAGAAACGACAGTCATCGGTCGATGGCTGAGAGAAACCAGACGTCGATGGCTGAAATGTCTGATATATGTGAGAAATGTGTGAATTTTTTTTTTGTAACCCTAACCACTGAAACGACGTCGTTTCAGTGGTTATAGGGAATTGAAAAAAAAAAATTCAACACACTTCAAACGACGTCGTTTTAAAAAAAAAAAAAAAAAAAAAAAATTTGCACGTATCGTGAGTTTCGTACCGATACGTATCGTATCGTAAAAACGTATCGTGTATCGGACGATACAACGCAAAAACGATACATAACTACGATCCGTATCGTTTTAGGGCTGTATCGTAACGTATCGTACGATACGTATCGTGTATCGTACGATACTAACAACTTTGATCATTGATTGTTGGATCATGGATGTTAATATTGAATGTGTATCGGAATATCTAATATTGTATTTTCTATGCAGTGATATCATAATGTAAATTTTTAGAATTAGGAAAATGATGAATTAAAAGATTATTATGATAATATTTTTATTTTAAATACATATTTAACATATCTTCAACGTGTCCGTGCCCTATTTTTTAAAAAGATGGCCTGTTCACGTGTCTATGTCATATCGTGTCTGTGTCCGTGTTTTTGTCCTTGTCCGTGCTTCTTAATTCTTAGCTATAGACATATACCCTATAATAGAATCGAATCAAAATGAAGGGCTACAGTACTAATACAAGCAAATCTTAGTCCCAATAGCCAAAAAAACAAAAATCATAAAAAAATTGTAATGTGAATGCAGGTGGCTTCAAACTACTATGGAAAAATAACTATAATTCTTAAAAAATCATGGGGAATCAAACGATGTTGCTTTCGATAAAATTTGACAATGTTTATGCTGAAATCCTCATGTTAGATTTTGATAACGGTGAACCTGGCAATCTCCCATTGGTTCCAATAAGTGTTTAATGTATTAGGTTGTGATCAATTCTATGATATAAAGTTAAAACTTGAATAATGAAAATTAGGGTTTAGGAAAAAAAGAAGAAAGATATTATGGAACAATAGAGTGAGAAAGACGTGTGTTGCCAATACCCTATCACCTATTCAATTGATATTAAAGAGCAGGGATGGAGCCAAATCTTTTTCTCAGTGGGGGAAACCTAAAATTCTTTAATAACTTAAAACAAAGTTCAATGCCACTATCTTGATCATTTCTTTCCCGAGTGGGAGACCATTGTTTCAATGTTCATTTTCTTTTAAAAAATGTATTATGGTAGATTTGAAAATCAATTCTTTTAGTTAGATGCTAACTCAATAACCATCATTTTGTTTTTAACAAACAAATTACAAGAATCATGAGTAGTAAATATAAATCAAGAAATTTTAATAAAAGTAATTTAGAAAAATTAAACGTATCACAGGCCTATTAAATTGAACGAAAATATATTAAAAATTCAAGCTATTATAACCAAATTCTTCAAGTCTAATTGATCGAAATACCTTAATCTAAAATGTAATGCATAAAAACCAAATTACATACAGAACAATCAAATTAAATATAAAAAACTTTAAGCCCCCATTTTAATTTCAACATATGAAAGTGGCACAGGGGAGGGGAGGGGACTGAAAGGTTCTAAATTGCATTAACGTAACCTTCAACCCCATCTGTGATTCACAAATAGATGATTGCGACGTGTCGGCACCATCTTTAAGTTCATTTCACATAATCAAAATTTTTTATCTTGTCACCGCTGTCTAATATTTGAAGAGATCAAGATTGCAAATAATATTTCAAAGAGATCAAAAAATATTTGTTTCAATCATCATTGTTCTTATACCAACAAAAAAAACCCATCATTGTTCAATCCAATATAAATAGTTGCAGTTCTATAATCTGTTCATCACCATCAGGGAAAATATAAATTGGGTATAAAAAATAGAAACTCTAATCACCGTGCAAAAAACTCATTAAGTTTTTGAAATTGAAGAAATCTCTAATGGGTTGCCTCTTGCAAGAAAACTCTATTAGAATCCACTAAGCTCTCATCTCCTTTAAAGCAATTTTCTCAACCAACTATATAAACAATGATCAAAATCAAAAACGAAGGGAGGGATGATTGAAGAGAGGGAAAACTTTAAGTGAGGGAACGAAAGAGGTAAGTTTGAAGAGAACAAAACCCAAAGAGAGATTGAAGAGAGTAACTTCCAATACCCAGTGAGAATGATGTGAGGGGCCAAAGAAAAAAAGTGGAGGTCTGAAGAGATGAAAAGTCGGGACCAGGGTGCTATAAAAGTGTTCTCTTGATCTTATTCCATATTTTTGAAACAAGCTCACATATTTTGCTAATATATAGAACTAGTCTTATAACTTTTCACTGGGGCAGTTTTTAAAAACATTTAAAATTTTCAAAATTCTACGTAGACCTCAAATATTTTTAAAATTTTAGTGAGGGCAGCTGCCTCCCCATTGTAAATCGCCCCGGTTAAAGAGCATTACATTATTAGGAAAGTAGAAGATAATAGGAAAGTAACATAGGAATGTAAATCTCCAACAATGACAAATAAAAAACCACCGAAGCATGTTATTCTTGTACAATATTGAATTAGTCTGTGATGCTTTGCCAATTTAATTCCTTGTCTTCTGTTTTAAGCTGTGTGTGATTCTACAGGCACTACATGCATGTGAAATTGGCATTATTGAGCACTTTAAGTTTCTTATTAAGAGACATGTAAAGTAGATTCATTTATTGTTTCTTATTCTGTTTCTGATAACCAGTTTTTGTAGACATTATATCCTTATTTTGGGCAGTGCATTTTGTCTTGTGATGCAGTCTACAAATGATTGCTTTTTATTGTTTTTTTTTTTTTCAGTGAAGGAAAGGAACTACACAGTTTAATACTCAGTGATCTATATTACCATCTGCAAGGGGAGCTTGAAGGTCGTAAGATTGACCACAGACCATTCAAAGAGCTCTCCCAGTATCTCCTAGAGTCAAACCTTTTGCATACATATTCACGTCAGTATGATGGAGATGTTGTAGCACATGCCAAGGATGTGCACTTATTTGATTCCATTCGCTTACGAGCTGATTTAGGTTTGGATATATGGGATCTTTCAGAGTGGAAAACATCTAAAGCAGTTGCAGAAACAATGTTGCTCCGCTTGCAGGATGTGAACTCAATGGTGTTGCTGGCAAGTTCCAAGCTTTCGGCTCTAAAAGCATTGATTGCTATTTTGTCCGTGCATGGAAAAGATGTGAGTACTCAAACTCTAATTGCCATTGCTGTTGTTCTCTTTTCTGGAACCTATGTTATTTGGAAAGGATCAGTGCTTGTATGAGGTGGCAAATTTGTCAAATCCTATAAGCCGAGGACACTGAGATATGGCTAAATATTCTTATATCGTAGTATTCATCCTTAAATTTCCATCATGTGGGCTTCTGGCTCAAAATTATTTACCTTGTGAACAATATAGACAAGGAGAAACTTTCACATATGTTTATTTTTTAATTGCTACCAACAGTGGGTCACTGGCTCAGTGGTTAAAATTTAGAAAAAGAACCATGAGATTCTAGGTTTAATTTTGAGGGCAGTACATTGTGCAAATAATATAAATGTTAGGTCTATATCTAGGTCTAGTCCATGATTCCAGCCCACCTATCATCCCATTAATGGGGATGAAACTGGTTAAATATATGATTAAAATGCATTTATTAGAGAATCATATCGGAGATGGTCAATAGGTCTTGTTCAGACACATGATGCTCTTTTTCATTCACTTCTCTGCGTTTAACACGAGTCCTTCACACATTATGGAAGAGTACATGTTAATTTGAATCTTTGGAATATGTGATTACTTTGTTAATGTGGGAGTGATCTTGAAAATTTTATGAAATGTGGATATCTATTGATTCTTATTCATCAAAACATCAACTATACAATTTTTTTTTTTTTTTGAGATTATAATACTTTTATGAGCAACTATCACTGCAATAATAATGTTGATAATAACCCGTGCCATATGCAATCGTCCAAAACATCGATGCAGTGTATGTGAAGGATGTTGGCAAATGTGTGGCCTTATTTCCTTTAGATACACGGCGTGCAAACTTTCAATAATTAAAATTGAACTACATTTCTGTGTGTAATCTGGAAGTTACATAAACTTAAAGAATTTGGTATTATATGAACAAATTTGGATTCTTGATATGAATACATGTGCATCTCCAAACATGAAGAACCCCCATGGCACTTCTAAGTTTTATGTCTTTGCTTTGGACTGGTATACTGGCCACAGTTTAAACTATCAGTTCGAAGAATCATAAACATTTTTTATTTTTCTTCTGCAGTTAATGTTCTCTATGCAACATTAACTTGATGTTTACCTGCTCATGCAGTCAATTGAGAAGAACAGCACAGTTGATGGGAAGATTCCTGAGCAGCTAATATTGTCAAGCATCGATCACACATGCCAGTGTCTCCATGCCACTATAGAATTATTAGCTCCAGTTCCTCATGCTAGTGAAGACATCCTTGATTTCCTGGCTGCTCAAGCAGAACTACTACTACATCTTATTGTCTCCCTATACAAAAGGTTGTCCTTACCTGCTAGTGTGCACATCTTGAAAACCTCGGGTTATGGCCTCAAAGTGTTGAGTGGCTCCAGGCCAGGAGTTGCTGGTGGCAGAACAACAATAAGGGTTTTACTTGTGTTGCTCCTCTTGTCAGTTGACTTGATTAGATTGAATTCAGGTTCAGATGAGGGGACTCGGATGGAATCTGTTGAAGTGGTTGCTGAGGCATCTATTGCAAGTTTGGGGCTATTACCCATTCTTTGCAACTGTATTGAACCTGCTGACAACTGTACCCTATCCCTGACTACTATTGACTTAATATTGAAAAGTTTTTCAACACCTGCTACTTGGTTCCCTATCGTGCACAAACATCTCCAGTTGCAGCATTTTGTTCAGAGCTTCAAGATCCGAATTCATATGCATCTGTTCCTGTAATTTTGAAGTTTCTTTTGACACTTGCGCAGTCAAGAGAGGGGGCTGAGATGCTTCTTAATGCTGGTTTCTTTGCATCTTTGAGAGTGTTGTTTGATGGTGTACGAGATGATATACCTTTATCTGTGATTCAAAGAGAGAGGAGTCTTTCCAACTCTTCTGAAAAAAGTGAAAAGCCTCAGTGCATTTGGGGACTTGGCTTGGCTGTAGTCACAGCGATGATTCATTCTTTGAGAGGCAGTTTCTTCTGGTACAGGTGTCGTGGATCATGTGATGGCTTACTTCTTTTGGAGAAATCTGACGTGATTTATTATTATCTAAATGCACCAGACTTTCCATCTGATGATCATGACAAGAAAAGAGCTCCTGCTCCGAAAACACCAACATCTCTAAATGCTCTTAAAGAAACAGAACATACCCTCTTTCTAATTTGTGTGCTTGCAAAACAGCGCAATTCTTGGATT